TCCTGCTGATCCTCTGGTTAACTTTCTGACACACTGACAAACTTTCCTACAGTGGCCATTAATATTTTAATTGTGGGATAATTACAAAGCCTCTATTTTCCCATAAAGGCTGTCCCCTTCTCCACTCCCTCTAATGCCACATCTACCAGACCAGCCAGGCTGGATTCTGCCTCTTCTCCCCATGCATCCCATAGCGCTGGCTCCTCACTGGAGCCTCTCCTGCTGCCCAAACCCCACAGGTGTTCGGAGACACGGACCAAGTGCGGATGACCTCAGAGGGCTCCGACTGCCGCTGCAAGTGCATCATGCGGCCACTGAGCAAGGACGCATGCAGCCGGGTGCGCAGCGGCCGGGCGCGGGTGGAGGACTTCTACACGGTGGAGACCCTGAGCTCCGGCACTGACTGCCGCTGCTCCTGCACGGCGCCACCCTCCTCCCTCAACCCCTGCGAGAATGAGTGGAAGATGGAGAAACTCAAAAAGCAAGCGCCTGAGCTCCTCAAGGTAGGCTTGCTGGGGTGTGGGAGTGAGGGAGTGCCCACAGCCTGCTCTGTGCAGCAGGTGCAGTTGCCACCCCTTCACAGATGAGGAAACTGAGGGCCTCCTGGTCCGAGACCATTCAGCCAGCGAGTGATGGGAGCAGGAATCTCTGCCTAGTTTGCCTCAACAGAGCCCCTTGCCCTCTATCCCAGGGTTCCTGTATTTTGCCCAAACCAATTCATCTGTTGGCATCTATCTAGATTTTAAACTTTGTGGCATTTTATTGTTGTTAGTGTAATATTTTCTGTGTTCAAGCACTACCTGTGTGACAGAAATTGTGTTAAACTCTTCTATACAGTCTTTCCCTGGACCTTTAGACCATGCAATATAGGGTCATTGTCCTCATTTTATAGGCAAGAAAAACGAGGTTTAGAGGATTTAGGTGACATGCCCACACTCAGTCAGTCAGCCTTGAGTCTCTACTTGGTGTGAATTACAAAGATCTCCGTCCTGGGACCAGCAGTTAGTGTAATGGCTATGTCGCTGGACTCCCATGTAGTCAACCGTGGTTCTAGTCCCAGACCCGGCGGCTTAAACTCACACCAGGCATGTGTGCATGTGTGCCCAAGGTCCTGAGAGGAGAATGGAGGAGAAGGGATTGTGGCGTGGCCATCCTGGGGGGTGATTTCTCGTTTTCTGTCTCTCTCTGTCTTTCTGGCGAGCGCACGTGCCCTATAGCAAAAACCTCTCCAAAAAAAAAAAGAGAAAAAGAAACATGTCCCTCCCTTGCCTGCTGGCAGATAGGAAATGAAGCACTACCTCTGCGGGACATGGCTTGGTTAAGCATGTGTGAGCTACTCCATCCCCACTACCAGCCAGGCACCTTTGTGCCATTCATGCCACCATCACCTGGGTGCTTAGTAGACCTGGTGGGGCTGAGATTTGAACCCAGCTCCGGCTACTACAAAGCATATGTTCTAAACCACCTCATTCTCCTATCTTCTTTTGTCTGGTGTCTTTTTAATTTACAGCTTCCTCCAGAAGTGCCTGTTTTTCCTGTTTGGTGTCAAAAACTGGAAGGTTGGGACCAGCAGTTAGCGTAATGGCTATGTCACTGGACTCCCATGTAGTCGACCGCAGTTCGAGTCCCGGACCCAGTGGCTTAAACTCACGCCAGGCACGTGTGCGTGCGTGCCCAAGATCCCAAGAGGAGAATGGAGGAGAAGGGATTGCGGCATGGCCATCCCCCCTGGGGGGTGATTTCTCGCTTTCTATCTCTCTGTCTCTCTCTGTCTGGCGAGCACACGCGCCCTATAGCAAAAAACTCTCCGAAAAACAAAACAAAACAAAAAAGAAAACTGGAAGGTCTGAGCTGTTACCACACTTGTAAGCTACTAGTTTCTGCTGGCAGAAGACATGAGCCTCCTGGGTCAGAGACAAAGGACTGTTACTCACAGCAAATCTACATGTCCTTGCACTGGCTCTCCCAGCCCCAGTTCCCATGGGTGGGATGGTGAGGGTTGGATATCACCTGTACACACGGCGGGCTGTGCTCCAGAAGTGAGTGCTGTGCTTAGAGAGTCCGACTCTTTCAGAGGGCACGGAGCCTGCCCGTTATGTGATGTAGACAGCTACATTGCCGGGAACCACAGTCAGAGCCTCTGCACGCAAGGCATGCAGAATAGCAAAACATGAGGAAGAAGAATCTGTCCCCCAACATTTGGCTACAAATGGTTTATTTAAATTTAGCTTTAGTTTTATTTTTGTAACACCTGAACTAATGCCAAAACTCTCAGAATAGGATGTGTGTGGGGGGTACTACCACACTCTCTTTCCAGGACCTCACTAGGGCCATGCAGACTCAGGCGCCCAGGCCCTAGGCTGGCCTTCATTTATGGGGGCAAACGCAGCTCTGCACACGTCAGCATGCCCAGAACTGAAGTGTAAGAATACTCAACAGGACACAAAGCCTCTTCGTGAACACTGGCTGACTGAACCCTTGCCACAACCTTTGACGAGGGCACTTACAGTGCCAGTTTTACTTGTGGGGGAATCTGAGTCCCAGAGAGGAGTTGTGACTTCCATAAGATCACACAGCAAGAAAGCGGAAAGACTAAGATTTGAACCCAAGAATTCTCTGCCACATCCTCTTGTCCAGCAGAGGGGTCCAGGCACTCTCTGGGCCCCTTAGGTCTTTTCAGTACAGAGAAGCCACGGAGGGGGTGGGTATTGATTCAGTCTTACAGAACTGGAGCAGGCCCAGCCAGGCAGTGGACTGGGCTGCAGTGCCAAAAGCCATGTGGACAGCTATGAGTTCAGATCCCCTGGTCAGCCTGAAAACACACCAGGTGTGCATGTGGGTGCCCAAGATCCTGAGCAGCTACAAGGCTGGGGACAGGAGACTCCACATGATGTGACCCGATTCAGGGTGCTTCTCTCGCTCTCTTCCTCTGTCTCTCGCTCTCTGGTGCATGCACTCTCTATCCGAAGGGGAAAGACAGATACGATCCATAGTGGGTGGGAACTGACTCGCCTGACTGGGGGGAGGAGAGGAGACCCTGCCTCACAGATACCCTGGCGGCAGGAGTGGGTACCCTGCAGGCAGGGAACCTCAAGAGGAGGACATAGACAGTAGGATTAGGGCCAAGGGGCTTCTCCCATTCAGCTTGACTCCCCTCCCTAGGCAGGAGGTTTTCTGTGAGCTTGCCCCAAGGTGGGAGGTTAAGGGGAGCCCACGGGTGGGGCACTTACCCTGCTCTCCCCTCAAGCTAGTGACCCAGCTGTGACTTGGCCCTGGTTGCGTGGTTGTGGGGGCGGGGTGGGGTGGGGTGGGTGGCGAGGGCGTCCTGCCCGTCCCTTTCTCGCGAAGGCTGGCTGCAGGGTATGCCTCTCGCGTCATCTCTACTCCTTTCCTTCTGGGTGCCGACCAGACAGCCCCACCCTTGAAGAGTCCCCAGGCTCATGAGGACATGTCTGCTGACCCCAGCAGTGGCAGTGTGACCAGTGTCGGGCTGAGGGATGGCCCAGGGACTGCAGGAGCCCCAAGGAGGGCGTGGCACTGGAGCTAGGCCTTGAGGGGTATGTAGGAGTCCCACAGGCAGAGAGGTCACGAGGGCATTCTGAGTGACGGCAAGAGAAGTGGGGGTGGCACAGGGTGCCCCCCAGCTCTGCTCTGGTCTCACTGGGCACCTGTCACTTCCTCTAACACAGACTATAGTGAAGGACCAGTTCTAAAAAGATTTTTAACTTTAAAACACGATACAAATGAAATCAGAAGAATGACTTGAAGCAAAAACAGATATGCTCAATGTAAGCTCACCTGATGATTTACGTGTGTGCTTTTGTTTTGTTGGTTATTGCCATTTTGTTTGTTTGTTTGTTTTGTTCTGTTTCTAGTTTTCGCTATGGAGCATGTGTGCTCATGAGAGAGAGGGAAAGTGAGAAATCATACACCCCCCAGGGGATGGCCACTCTGCAGTCCCTTCTCCTCCAGTCTCATCTTCGGACCTTGGGCATGCATGCACACACCTGGTGTGATTTCCAGGCCGCCAGGTCCGGGACTTGAACCACGCAGCTGGCCATGTGGGATCCAGCACCTTATCTCCATGCCGCCTGCTGGCCCATCCAAGGATTTATTGTGAGCGTCAACAAACATAAAATTGTTGTCGGTCGGCTCCTTGGTGCAGCGATATGCACTGCTTGAGCGAAGCTGGAGCCCACTGGTGACGCTGTGGGAAGCCCTGAGTGGGTCAGCCTGAACACACCATCGTGTGCCTGAGTGCCCGGGAGCCAACGGGCTGCAGGGTGGGAGGAGGGATTCCAGCATGGCCAGACCCTGCGGAGGGTACGTGTCTCTCTCATTCTCACGTGTGCACACGCTCTGTCATGAAGAAAGAAAACGATTACTGTCAGGTGCTCTAAGTTCCTAAGGGCCCATGCTCGTCCTCCGAGGCTGCTCTCCCCAGACTGGTAAGGAGCAGTTTGAACGGGCGCAGGCCCACAGCTGCACTTGAGTGGCCGGCTCGGACGGGCTGTGTCTCTCCCACCTCCATGTCCGCACACACTGTGCTCCTCGCCTGGACTGTCCCTTCCTGGGCGTCCTGTGTGCCCCGTGCTCCTCCGTCAGAGCCCGGCGAACCGCACTGCCTGCAGTCCTCCCGAGCACACCCCATCACTGACAAGGCAGTGCCCAGCACTAGAGACCTGGGCGCCTGGGCATCACCACTTGTGTCCCTGATCTGGATGCCAGTCACTGCCCGTGTCCTTGACAGGCTGTGAGGGACTGTGAGGGCCTGTTTGTCTTGCTCATCGCTGTCCTCAGTGCCTGTTCCACAGGAGACATCCGCCAAGCCTGAGGAGGGAGGCAGGGCACAGCATACGGGCCTGACAGCCCGGCTCAGGAAGTGAGAGGCCCCATGTGGGCAGTGGGGAGCCACAGAGCGTCACATAGCAGGGGAGCGACCTGTGGAAGCCAGTGTTGGTGGCCACGAAGGCAGCAGAGTGTAGCCAGGAGCTGCCCCCTTGGCCCTGCATAGTCACGTTTGTCGCCAGTATTCACGAAGCCCTTGCAGTGGGCCAGCCCTGTGCTGAGTGCGGCCCGGAGGTTTCCTCTCCACACCGGGTTATCGCCCCATTTCACAGCAGAGGAATCCGAGGCACAGGTGTGTCTGTGGGCATGGTTCTCAGACCATGCTGAACAGAGCCTGGGGTACCACAAAAGCCCAGGACCAAAGGGAGTTTGTGGGAGCAAAGACAACTCTGGGCCCACACCTGCTTCCCATAGAGCCTCCCACACACCTTCGCTGTTTTAGAGATGAGAGCAGAAACACTAGGAGAAACGCTCCCGGGCTTCAACATGTGAATACCCAGGGAAAGTGGGAGTGAAACTGCTTTGGAAACAGCTGGCAAGGGCCAGACAGGAGCAGGGCTCAGAGCAGGGCCATGAGAGAACTGTCCTTCCCAAGAAGCCAGGAGAGGCTGATTTCCCGGCCGGCCCCTTGTGCCAAGCTTTCCTGACATTCCAGCTGGCATCTTGGCCATCTGGAGGGAATGTCACATCGTGATGAGGAGCGACAGGCAGGGGAAGCAAATGGACAGTTCCTGGAAAAGCCCCAGGCCACTGACCTGTCGTGCAAGCCCCTCCCCCCCTCGCCCCTGTTTCCCCATCTGAACGCAAGACAAGGAGCAGGAAAGAGGTCTGGGTTCTAGGGATCTGGGTCTGCTCTTACCCACATTAGCAGCCGGGCAGCCTGGGCACGTCGCTTCACCTCCGTCACCTGCAGCTTTCTGGTCTGTAAAATGAGGAAGAAAGCTGGGTCGTGGAGTCAGGCCAAGCCAGTGGTTCGTGTGCAGGTGATTTACAACTGTGCCTTATCTGTGGTTCCGCTATCTGGGATTTCAGTTACCCAGAGCCCACCACAGTCCAAAACACAGGTGAGTACAGTACAATGCTTTTTTTTTTTTTAATTGCCAGAGGGTGCACTGGAGAGAGACAGACAGGGGACAGGGAAAAACCCCTTCAATGGGGCTTGGTCACACCACAGTCCTTTCTCCTCTGTTTCTCTGTCCTGTTGGGATTTTGGACACACGTACATGTGCACATGCATCGGGAGTTTTTTCAAGCCAGCAGGGCCAGGATTCGAATGACGTTGGCCACATAGGATCTGGCTCCCTTAACCACTAGGCTATAGGGCCAGCCATATAACAAGGTATTCTGAGAGCTAAAGAGACCATATTTACATACATGATATTGAAGTATGTTGTTGTACTCGTTCTGTTTGAACGAGGTGCCTAGTTTAGAAACTAAACGTTTTCACAGGCATGCGCAGGCAAATGCAGAGTACTGAGACAGTACCTCCACTGGGGGTCTTGGAATGACCTCCCACAAACAACTATATGGGGAGCGGACCACTATATTAGGAAAGCACCCCTGGAGAAATTGGCAGTGATGTGGGGGAAGCGGGCCTAGGGTAGGGGGTGCTGGGTGGGAACGCCCACAAGAGCATGGTCTCAGGCTAAGTGCCAGCCTCTGCCCAGTCCCCAGGGAGGTCCAGAGTGGAGGTGACAGCTCAGTTTGCCTCTATACCAAGCAGCCATTACCTCAGGGTTACCCCAGGAGGGTATACACTCCCTGCCACGGGGAGGCAAGGGGTTCTTTGATGTCACAGATACAAACTGTTAAAAAGGAGGTGCAGAACCAGCCGGTGGCACAGTGGTTAAGGCAGCTGGCTCCCACTTGGCTGACCGCATGGATTGAATCCCAGACCTGGTGGTTTGAAAACTACACTGGGCACATGTGCTGCACGCCCATAACCCTGAGGAGAATGGAGGAGGAGGAATGGCAATGGCTACCCTGCGGGGTATTTTCTCTTGCTCTCTCGAGAACTCGCTCTCTCCCTTGCCAGCAAGTGCATGTGCCCTATAGCAAATAAAAAAGAGGGACGCACAGGGGAGCCAAGGGTGAACTCGAACAACAGTCAGAGGGCCCCGGGGACCTGCACTCCTCCAGTGCTGCGTACGCCCCTTGGGGATTGTTCCCAGGATTAAGCGACAGCCCAGTTGAGCCCTGGCCCAGGGCCCACGTGTAGGAAGGGCTCAGAAGGTGGGACCTGTCACTTTTCTTGCGATTACTAACAGCCGGGGCCTGGTGAGCAGTGGGGACCCTCTGCACCCTCTGTGCCTGGCTGCGGGCTGCACATTTTGCCTAACCTTCCCCCTTCCCTGGGCAGCTGCAGTCTATGGTGGACCTCCTGGAGGGCACCCTGTACAGCATGGACCTAATGAAAGTGCACGCCTACATCCGCAAGGTAGCCTCTCAGATGAACACGCTGGAAGAGGTAAGGGTCGGGCTCAGCCAGAGGCTGGGCTGCTGCAGTATCGGGGAGGTGGGCAAGGGCAGTGTCTGCAGGGGCCTGGGAAATTCTGGTTTGACCCTGCTGGCCATTGGAAGCTGGACTCCAGCTGGGCGTTGGGGGAGGGAGGGCAGGCCCCAGGGTTCAGCCATGAAGATGGGGCAGGTGTGACTGGGCCTACAGGAAAGCAGGAGGCTGGGCGGAGAAACCGAGTCATGCTGGGTGTATGATAGGGGTGTGGAGGGGGCTGGAGTCCTGATCTGTGTGCCAAGATCAGGACTCAGGCTGCACAGCTCCGGGGCACCATTCACATGAGATCCCATGTCAGTGGTGCCCCCTCCCCCGGGTCGGTGTACCATGGCTGGACTGGCCAATCCCTCATGGAGCCAGCTTCATGGTCACTTGCATTAAAGGCCAAAGTGCTCAGTGTCCAGTCCTGGCCAGGGAGAGTGTGCTGAGGGCTGGGCAGGTGGCTGGGACTGCCCCCGGGGACAGGACAGAAGTGGGCGAGCATGAGGGTCCAGGCTGCAGTTCAAGGTTTGCATCTGCTGGCATGGCCTGGCCTCCGCCTGTTTCCTGCATCCGGCCTCTGCTGGGCCGCTGGGAGTCAGGGGATGCGCGGCTGCCAGGAGCGGGCGTGGGGTCTTCCTTTCCCAGCTTCCTTTCTGGAGGGAGGGGGCACTGGGCATCCTGTGCCCAGGGCAGCAGATTAACCCCTTGCTAACTCCCAGGCTGGGTACAGTGGCTTTAGTTACTCAGCAAGTGTTTGGTGAGCACCGACTACTGGCCCAGCCCATGCCAGCTGGGAGAAAGCTGACATTCACTGAATTTCTTCTGTGCGTGTTTCCTGTGCACCTAGTGTATGCCAGGCCCTCCCGCTGTAGGCTCTGAAGTTAGGCTCCTTTGACCTTTTCTTTTGTAATCTCAGGAAATATTAACTCACTTCATGTAGCTGAGCCAGACAATCTGGAAGGTATATCTGCTGGGCCTAGAACAATTCAGAAATGATTTCCACAGCCAAAGAGCAATTACGTTTTAATTATCTTCTGTCTTGCACTATCTGTGCTTTGCTTCTGTTAACCACAGTTTACTAAGTGATAACCCTATGGAAAAAAATAATTTCTTGCCAACCCTGAGCGAAGGTGGACAGAGCGGCCTTGCTCAGGAGGAACTGGCTGCGTCTGCCAAAGGAAAACTCCTCCTAGCAGCTGGGCAGCGATTCGGGGTCCCTCTGCTTTCTTCCCTCATCCCAGTGGTGCTTAACCAGGGGTGACTTTGCCCCCCCAGGGCATTAATGATGTCTGGGCATGTTTTCGGTTTTTACAACGTAGGCAGGAGATGGAGTGGAGGTTTCTGGCTTCTAGTGGGTTAAGGTCAGAGTGTCTGCCTTATGCACAGTCCCCACAATGCACAGGACAGTCCCCAAAGACAAACTGCTGACTGGCAAATGTCAGTGGTGCTGAGGGTGAGGACACCTGCCTTACACTGGCTTCCATCTTCCCCGGGATCTAGTTCCTAATGCACTTGCTTTTATTCTTAATTTGCCAGAGGATACATGCACTTGCTGGAGGGAACAGAGACAGAGAGAGAGAGAAGGAAAGTGAGAAAGCAGCCCTCATGGGGAGCGGTCACTCTGCAGCCACTTCTCCATTTACCTCTCATTTTGGGATTTGGGGCACGCACACGCACCCAGCATGTTTTTCAAACTGCTAGTCTGGTCTGAGACTCGAACCATGCAGTCTGTGTGGCATCTACCCGCCTTAACTACCACGCCACTGGCTGGTCCTCACATGCATTTTCTTGTTTCTTGACCTCTCTGATTCTCACAGTGACCCTGCAATTTACTATGATGAGGATCCCCATTTATTTTTTTATTTTTTTATTTTTTGGAGAGGTTTTTGCTATAGGGCGCGTGTGCTTGCCAGACAGACAGAGAGAGATAGAGAGACAGAAAGTGAGAAATCACTCCCCGGGGAGGTGGCCACATCGCAATCCCTTCTCCTCCATTCTCCTCTCGGGATCTTGGGCACGCACGCACATGCACCCAGCGTGAGTTTAAGCCACCAGGTCCGGGACTCAAACCGCGGTCGACTACGTGGGAGTCCAGCAACATAGCCATTATGCCAACTGCTGGTCCCAAGGATCCCCATTTTACAGGCAAGGGAACTGAGGCCCAGAGAGGCTGTCACTAGCTCGAGGATACCCAGCCAGGACGCAGAGAGCAAGGATTTGAACCCAGGCACACCTGATACCTGTCTGCTGCCTTGTGGTCCCTGAATCAGAGTCACCCGTGGCAGACTGGATGTGACTCACTCCTGGTTATCACATCCTCTGTAAGTTTCTGGGAGTGGATTTCTGAACTCACACTTAGGGTGCTCCGTGGCTTCTCAGCAAAGAGGTGCTTCCTGCATCTGACCACAGTGTGTCCTGCTTTGCTGAAAAGGAATCCCACTAGTTCCTCAGACCTGCTGGGGCTTTGGGGACTAGGGCTGACACCTGCCAGGTGGCCTCGGTTTCCTGAGTCCTGCCCAGTGGGCAAGGCCAGCCTGGGCATCAGCCCAGCAGAGGGGTTTCCTAGGTGATGGGTGATTCATAGGACTCAGGAGTAGAAGGGGGACTGCTAAAGCTCAGCAGGCAGCCAGGACCCCCAGCAAGGGGGAGAGGCTGGGCTCCAGGTCATGGGACGGGCCCATACAGCCAGGAGAGAAGTCCTAGACTTGGTGACCAGGAGGGACCAGAGACTCCTCACCACAAAATTCCAGAGTTTCATTCCATCGAGTATTTTATAAAAATAAGGTACTTACATATTACCTATAAAATTAAAAAATAACTTCTTTTTAGAGGTTTTTGCCTTAGGGTGCATGCACTAGCCAGAGAGAAAGACAGATACAGTGAGAGGGAAAGTGAGAAATCAACCCCTGGGGGGCGACCATGCTGCAATCCCCTGCATTCTTCTCCTGGGATCTTTGGTACACGCACATGTGCCTGGCATGAGTTTTAAGTCACCCGGTCCATGACTCGAACCACAGTCAGCCATGTGGGAGTCCAGCAACATAACTGCTATGTCATCTGCTGGTGGCAATTAAAAAAATAATTTTAAAGTAGTGGGGCTGGCAGGAGGCATGGTGGTTAAAGTGCTGGACTCCCACATGGCTGACCATGGTTCAAGTCCCAGGCCTGGCAACTTGCTTTCTCATTGTTCTTCTCTATCTCTGTCTCTCTGGTCAAATAAATAAATAAATAATACAAACCATTAAGGAAAATATTTTTTAAAAAAAATAGCAAAAAGTGGGAAGCAACATCAATGACCATCAGTATCGGTAAGGGACTGACTAAATAACTTCTGGCCTGCCCATGAAGTGGCAATACTGCTGTGTGGCCTTAAAAGCCCTGAGGAATGGCCGGTCGTGGCGTGAAGGTTAATGTGGCTGGATCCCACATGGCCGACTGGACAGTTAGAGTCCCAGGTCCTGCAGCTTAAAAAACACACTGGGCATGTGTGTGCGTGCTCAAAGTCCCGAGAGGAGAAAGGAGGAAAAGGGATTACGGTGTGACCATTCACCCTGGGAGGCGATAGCCATCTCTCTCTCTCTCTCTCTCTTTCTCTCTCCCCCTGGCAAGTGCATGCACCCTTATAGAAAAATTTAAAATGGACTTGGGAGGCCCAGCCATGTGACTCATGCTGCTGAGACACTGTGTTCCACAAACACCATGTGAGAAGCCTGGGTTTCCTTCTTCAAGAGACAGACAGCTCCATGGCTCCTGCGATTTAGTCATTTTGGGAAAAAGGAAGATGTCCCACTGATAACTGGGCCTCCAGCATACAAAACTCGCGTGTTTGGGAAGAAACTGATCATCCACCAGATGACTAGAAACCGCTGCAGGAGCCTGCAGGAGCACAAGATATATGGGAAAGCAGGAAAATACCTCTCCCACAAGGGAAACAGATAGCTGCTCTTCATCCACACAGAGTTCCATGGAAATCATGGAAATGTCTGATAAAGAATTCAGAACGTTCATAATGGCAAAGCTAACAGAGATGGAAGAGAAGAGAGACAAGGAACTGCTGAAGAGGAAGGAGAAAGGAGTTGAAGAGTTCCAGGAGGTGAGGAAATTTATGCTAGATCTAAAAGAGGAATTTCACACTTTACAAAAGAATCAGATGGAACTGTTAGAGATGAAGGCTATAATACAAGAAGTCAAAATCTCCCTTGAAAGTATTAAAAGCAGACTAGATCATACAGAATATAGAATCTCTAATGTAGAAGAGAAAATGGCTGGCCTAGAAAAATCCACCATGAAGACTGAGAAAATGGCCCAAAAATTTGAGAATAATATGCAAGAAGTACTAGATACAATTAAACATCCAAACATCCGGATAATAGGCATCCCAGAAGGTGAAGAGACTCATAAGGGCATTGATAATCTATTCCATGAAATCCTGCAAGAAAACTTTCCAAACCTGGAGAGGCACTCAAAGATTCAGTCCCAAGAAATACAGAGGACCCCAAATAGAATCAACCCAAGAAGATCTTCTCCAAGACACATTATAGCCAGATTGACCAAAACCACAGACAAAGACAAGATACTAAGACTGGCAAGAGAAAAAAGGCAAGTTACCTACAAAGGGTATCCCATCAGACTAACGGCAGACCTCTCATCGGAAACAATGAGAGCGAGGAGAGAATGGGAAAATGTATTCAAAGTATTAAGGGAAAAGCAATTTCAACCGAGAATTCTGTACCCAGCAAGGTTATCGTTCATTTGGGAAGAAAAGACACGAACTTTCCCAGATAAACAAAACCTGAAAGAATTTACCAGCACCAGACCGGATCTCCAAGAAGTTCTTAAGGGAGTGCTATGTCAGTAAAATTAAATGCAGACACACAGAAATAAGAGTTCAGAAACTAAGAAAATGGGCAACTTAATTGTAGGGCCAAAAGCTGGAGTTGAGTATTACATCCCAGATTTCAATCTGGAACATCGAACCTCAACAGATACAGAAGAAAGATTAAGTACATGAGACTGAACTGATGAAACAGTATTCTACGACTTGACTAAAATATTGCTGCTTTTCTTCTAAGCTTTGTTGTCTGGTTTTAAGGACTTTTGTCCTGTCTTCAGCTATCAATAGATTCATGTTCCGACTATTTGAACAGAATACTAACCTGTTTCTAGGCTTTAAGTTTCAAAGAAATATCCTTACCAGTTCAAAACTGCTTTTCTTGAAACCATCGGCTGATCTTGCTATTGAAAGTAGTTAGATTACTTATGATATTGTGTGACCAACGAAATGTTGGGGGAAAAGGGATTGAAGACAACTGTAGACAGCAGAGATAGTGTAATAAGAGAGTGGAATAGGGCAGAGGGCTAGACATGGGGTAAAAAAACATATATATGAAAGTAGAAATGGAATATAAAAAAAAAATTCAGAGAAAAAAATACTAAAACTGTTACCAAAATTTAAAGAAAAAACTGTGTATTTGATGACCACAGTAAGCTATATAGCCCCAGCTAGGTACCATTTTATAGTATGTTCATTCTACTCACTGAGGTTTATGCCTAAAGTCAGACATGGGTTCTTGTGTATGTAAATATCAGCTGTGCTTGCTATTGCAAATATTTAGACAAATTAAGTTCATTAGCAAATCAATTAAATGGGGGGATAGGCATAGAAAGCAAACAGGGATAACAGAGACAATGGGAGGAGGGTTGGACAGGGCAGAGGGTTAGGGATAGGGAATCAAGGATGGCAAAAAAAGAGAAAAAACTCAAAATATACAAGACATAAGAAATGGAAAATTGTTTGTTGATAACACATATGTTGATATACTTGATTGAGCCAACAGACAATGTATTTTGGATGAAAAATTCATTTTGTATACTGTAATGATGTATAGCATATTAATGTTAAAAATTTAAAAAAAAAAAAAAGAAGCCTGGGTTTGATTCCCAGTCCAACCTAAAGGCCAGGTGTGATGACCACACCTGTAAACACAGCAACTCATGAGATTGAGACAGGAAGACACGTGCTCGAAGCTGATCTGAGCAACATAGTCAGACTTTCTTTAAAAAAAAAAAAAAAAAAAAGTGTCGGTGAGGCTAGCAGATGGTGTAGTGGTTAAGGTACTGGACTCCCACATGATAGACCGCAGTTCGAGTCCTGGACCTGGCGACTTGAAAATCATGCCGGCACATGTGTGTGCAAGCCCAAAATCCTAAGAGGAGAACGGAGAAGAGATTGTGGTATAGTCATCCCCCTTGCAGGATGATTTCTCCCTTTCCCTCTGTCTCTCTTTGGTGAGCTCACATACCCTATGGCAAAAACAAAAAATATTTTAAAACTATTTAAAAAATCAAGGGGGTGTGGTAGAGCATGCCTGCAGTTCCTGCTAGGAAGCTGAGGCAGAGGATCGAGACAACAAGACCCTGCCTAACAAAACCAACTGAAGAAAGCACCGGGGAACGCTGTGTAGTGCTGTAGAGCAGATCCCCAAATAGGCTGTTCAGTGAAGAAGCAAAGTGCCAGGAATATTTGTGCACATAAACGTTTGTCCCTGTGTGTGTACAGATCGTCTTTCAAAGGATGCATAAGAAATCCGTAACAATTTTTTGGCACTGAGAAACAAAGGGCTTGAGGGACTGGCAGGTGGCGTGGTGGTTAAGGGCGCCAGACTCCCACATGACTGACCAGAGTTCGAGTCCTGGACCTGGTGGCTTGCTTTCTCACTTTCTCTCTCTCTCTTCCTCTGTCCCTCTCTGGTCAAATTTACATAAATAAATAAATATCGTTAAATGAAATCATTCTTATAAAAAGAAAGAACTTGAGGAAGACATATTTTTATACCCGTTTATATCTCTTAATTTAGTACCACGTACCTATAGTATCCATTTCTTCACTCTGTAAAGACCCCTCCCCGCCCCCAGTAAGCACGGGGTCTCTAAGAGCATGCTCTGCTCCACGCACCAGTGCCGCCCCCACATCCCATGCCCTGCTCAGGAGACTGGGCAGCAAGGCCCAATGGTGGAAGCTGGGGTGTCCCTGCGGAGCAAGGGTGCCCAGGACACTGGCCAGGGACAGACCTCCAACCCTGCCCCCACAGAGCATCAAGGCCAACCTGAGCCGGGACAATGAAGTGGTGCAGGAGGGCTTGCGCCACCTCAGCGAGCAGCTGAAACTCTACGAGAACCACTCAGCCATCATGACGAGCATCAAGAAGGAGCTGTCCAGCCTGGGCCTGCAGCTGCTGCAGAAGGACTCAGCAGCTGCCCCTGCCCCAGCCTCGGCTGCGCACCCCGGGAGCAAAGCTCAGGTAAGGCTCCCACTCCAATGTTGGGGCTGGAGGTGGCTGAGTCTGTAGCAGTGTGCTAAGACCTCAGCCCTGTGGGCCAGCTTGGTGGGGTAGGGGTCACAGGACAGGGCTGAGAGCTGTCTAAGCTAGAGAGTCCAGGGGGAAGAAGTGTCTGCCATACTCTGAGCGCGTTCAGCACAGGTTTGCTGGGGCAGATAAGCAGATCCAGCCATGGGACTGGCCCCTAGGCCAGGTGTTTGGCAATATTCTCACTTCCAAGTTCCCAAACCACTGGGGCAAGGGTGACCTGGCCCTAGGAGACCAGATCTCCTGCAGCAAAACTGTTGCTAGCCTCCCTTGCTGTGGCTGGACCCCTGGCTGGGTCGGGCCTGCTTAGGAGCAGTTGGGCAGTGCCTTGGGGGTCCCAAAGACTAATACCTGCTCATCTGACCCTGGAGTGGAGAACTGCAATAAAGGCCCAGGTGTTCCACCTTCAAGCTCAGGCCACAGAGTGAGCAGAGGCAGTAATTTGGTCACCAGGCCAGGCCACGCATCACAGATGGCACCTTTATGCACGGTCCCCAAGTCCCTTCCTTCAGACAGGCACATCGCAAACATGGCTCTCCCTCAGCCAGTCAATTAGAAAAAGGAGCCACCTTGGGATGAACGAATTGCACAAAGGCTCCTTCCTTCCTAGACGCACGCCGAGGGGTATGGTATGGCACTGCGAGTGTAGACTAGATTTCAACCCCATCCACCCACCTTCTGCTGGTCGCCTGTGTGCAGGACACAGCCACACCACTGTTCACAGAGGCCTTGTGTTTTTCGTGAGTGGAGGGAGCTGGCACCTGAATCCTTACTCTAAACCTCGTGAAGAGGGACGATCCCCGCCCGACTGGCAGATGAGGTGACGTGGAGAGAGGTGACGGCTGGGACGTCTGGGTCTGCGTGACTGCCGGGCTGTGCCCCTCCTCCCCACCCTCCTCCTGTGCTGACATTGTGATAATGGGCCCTTTGTGTCGGCCGGGACCGCCTAGATGCCGATAATGTGGGGGAGGCAGTTGCACAGGCACGACGAATCCTGCTTTGGCAGTGGCCCAGAGGCGCCCAGATACTGTACGCGTTACTGCCAGAGCTTCTGCCTAACAATGGGTGACATCACAGCCCTGTGTTCCTGCGCCAGGCGGCCTCACAGGCATCTACATAGGAAGTGACGCCGGCAAGTGCGTGTCCTGGGGGTAGGGTGACCATCCATCCCAGTTTTGCACGGGACTGACGCGTTTCCTAGGATGCAGGACTTCCGGTACTCAAACCAGGAAAGTTCCGGCATGCTGGGGTGAGTGGGCCACCCTGTCTGAGGGCCTGAGCCCTCTCCTCGGCCCTAAGGCCACTGAGTGAGGGGACAGGTTGAGATGCTGACCAGGCGGGCAAGGCTGCTTCCTCTGGCGGCCGGACGCAGCCAGGAAATGGGACAGGAGTCTAATAGGGCATGTTGGGAGTCAAGCCAGCAAGAGGGCTGGGTGGGGAGACCAAGGCAAGCTGGTCCTGGGTGTGGCCCTGTGAGAAGGTAAGGAGAGCTGGGACTCATGAGCACTGGGGAGAGCCACTTCCAGCCCCCACAGGCTGAGCTCTGAGCCTCGACAACGTCCTATCTACCGCCCCCGAAGCCTGAGACCTCCCTTCTCTCCCAGGACACAGTCGGAGGGAAAGGCAAGGGCACCAACAAATACGGCAGCGTGCAGAAGAGCCTGGTAGACCGAGGCCTCCCGAAACCTCCTAAGGAGAAGCTGCTGAAGGTGGAGAAGCTGAGGAAGGAGAGCGGCAGGGGCAGGTTCCTCCAGCCCACGGCCAAGCCCCGGGCCCTGGCCCAGCAGCAGGCTGTGATCCGGGGCTTCACCTACTACAAGGCAGGCCAGAAAGAGGCAACTGACGCTGTGGCTGGTGAGTTAGGGGGGAGCCACCCCCACCCAGGCACCCCAGGTCCCCTCTGCAGTCAGGCGTCCCCAGATTTCAACTTCGCCCGTTGATTGCCTAGTGGGGCCTCTTGCCCGTCTACACAGCGGGGATGCTCCACTCGTGGGGTGCTGGGGAGGAAATGGAGCCACGCAAAGGGCCGTGCAGTTTCTTCCCAGAATTTAAAGTCATCTTCACGTTCACTGGACTTCCCTTTATTCGTTCAAAGATTTGCTGAAGGTCTGCTGTGTACCAGGTGACAGGGAGTGACATAGAGGTCTCTGTCCCCACAGAGCTCACAGTCTAGTGAGAAAAACCATACCCGAGACCAGGCAGCCGTCACAGGTGGGTGGGAGAACACAGGGCCTGGGAGGTGACAGGTCCCCTCAGGGTACCTCTCATTTCTAGACTGGCCCCTCCAGCACCTCCCTCCTACATCCCAAAGAAGGGTCCCCCAGACTCTTGTATTTCCTGCCTCTCCCTGCCGGGTCATAGGGAAGGGCACCAAAGTGATTAACTGAGAAATAAGGGACAGAAGTCCCATGAGCCCCCAAAGTTCCGAACGGTCCCTGCTGGCCGTGGCTCCTGATCCCCCTCGAAGACCCTCTCAGATACTGGCTGTCCTCCCATGCTCTGAGGAGTGCCCCAGACCTGTGCCTTTTCCTGGACCACCCCCTCCAAGGAAGTCCCCGGGAGCCAGGCCAGAGTCCCCTTGTTTCCTCTCAGTCAAGGCCTCCTCTCCAGCCCCTGGAGCCAGCTGCAGGCCTGAGCCTGCCAGCACTGCCTGGCCCCGGCCCGGCACCTCTGACCCCGGCTGAGGCACTGTCCCAGGACAGCTGCGGGCACCTGGCTCTGCCAGCAGGACCCGTGGGAACAGGCCCCTGGTCTGGCAGGGGCCTGACCAGAGGGACTGCCCTGTGCTGCCAGGGCCCAGGCTGCAGGGGCGTCCTCAGCAGGGCCTGGCCAGTCCCCTGTGTAAAAAGGAAGGCCAGCCGGAGGGAAAAAGAAGAAGTGAGGCGCCATCTTCATCCTTGCCCTCCTCCAGCTGGCCATACAGTGTCCCCCCAAGGCCCAGACACCATTCCTTTGTCCCTGGTGTCACACACCGTGTTCCCACGTGGGAACTCACACATGCTGTCATATCTGAGGCTGGCACAGCCATGCTCCACAGGCGAGGAGACGAGCTCAGGGAAGGGACTGGCTCCGTTTCACGGGGGTGGTGGCGAGCAGGACTGGAGCCAGGCCTAACCCTAACCCTTCACAGCTGTCCCTGAGGGTGAGGGACCTTTGTCCCTTGGCCACATGGCATGAGTCTTCCTGCTTTTCCTATGCAGACCTCATTCATCCCAGCCCCGAGAAGTGTGGGGATCAGGCATGCTCCAGAAGTGGCCCCGAAACCAGGCCCCACAGGAGCTGCAAAGACACCTGGGGACCTGAGGTGACAGGAAGCTGGCTGCAGCTGCCCTCCCCACCTGGGGTGGCAAAGCTGGGCAATGAAACTCGAGGCTGGGCGGGCTCTGGGGAGAGGAGAGGGAGAAAGCCTGGGAAGGGCAGCCAGGGCTTCTGCCTCCCGGGGCTGGGTCAGGAGATGGAAGGCGGAGTTGGTAGCAAGTGACCGACATGGAAGGAGGGAAAGGACGCTCAGACTGCACCTCCCCTGACTGGGGCCTGCGTAAGCATTGTGTAGACACTTTTTTTTTTTTTTTTTTTTTAAGTTTTGCTAAGGGAGAGCATGCTCACTGGAGAGAGGGAAGAGGAAAGTGAGAAATCACCCCCCAGGAGGGATGACCATGCCATAATCCCTTCTCCTCCATTCTCCTCCCAGGATTTTGGGCAGGCACACACACATGCACACATGTCCAGCATGATTTTCAAGCTGTCGGGTCCAGGACTTGAACTGCAAAATCAGCTATGTGAGATCTAGCCTCCATAATCTCCACACCACCTGTTGGCCTACATTCTGAATACACTTTGCTCTAAACACAACATCCAGCAAGGTGGGCCTCATTCCTCTGGTTTCACCATCAGGGCACCTGCCTGGGTCCCCTGGGGAGTCACAGAACTGGGCTTGGAGCCCCTCTGCTGACCACGGAGTCCTCCCAATTCTTATATGAAGGCTTTTCCTTCCTTTGGGGCGTGGGGCAGCTGCAAAGAGGCCTCCTGCTTTCTTCCCCCCATGGCCCCGAGCTGCTGGGAGCCCAGTGAGCCTGGGGAGACCCCCAAGCAGCAGCAAGGCCCCTGTGACGTGAGTGCAGGTCTTCTGTCCACAGACAATGCCCTCAAAGGCCCTTCCTGGCTGGAGCAGCTGCCGCCCAAGGTGGAGGGCCGGCCACCTGAGCCCAACTCAGCCACCGAGCAGGACGACATTGGGCCCAGGACCTCAGAGGGCATGGACTTGGCCCCTGGCATGCCTACCTCAGACCCCACCACCACCACCACCACCACCCCAGCTCCCACCTCCAGTCCTCTGCCCACCGAGCCACCTTCACGCCCAGAAGTCCCTGGCCAAGGTGAGTAAACCTCACAGGGGTACAAACCACAGCCTTCATCCTCACGCTAAGAGTGGTCTTTCCTTTCCTTTCATAATATCCCACCTCCCCTTTTCTGTGGCCAGATGCATATGTTCACCAGAGAGAGACAGAGACAAGGAGAGGGGAAAAGCGTGTTCTAATGGGGCATGGTCATGCCACAGTCTCATCTCCATTTCTCATCCTGTGGGGATCTGGGGCATGCACACACTCATGTACCCGGAGTGTTTTACAAACTGTCAGGAGCTGGGATTCGAGTCACAGTGGATCATATGGGCTCCAGGTCCCTTAACCACTAGGCTATAGGACTGGTCTTGGTTTTCTTCTTGCTTTAATTTACATATTGATTTCCTCCATGAGCGAGGCGAGGGGAGGGAATGCCCCAATAGGGTCTGATGCCACGATCACCCCAGCCGCAGTTAGCCCCGGACCATGGGCATCCATGTGCTGGGCTTACTCAGGGAGTCTCCAGATGTGAGTCCCCTGTGGGATCGCCTCACAGAGCGCTGCATTTTCACTACCGTGCCACCATCTGACTCCAGTGTTTACTGTTTTTTTTCATTTTAGAGAGATTTGTGCTATAGGATATGTCTGCTTGCACACGTAGAGAGACAGACAGAAAGTGAGAAAGAGACAGAGAGATAGAAAGCATGAAATCACTCCCCTGGGGGGATGGCCACACTGCAATCCCTTCTCCTCCATTCTTCTCTTGGGATTTTGGGCATGTGTACACATGTTCCCAGTGTGAATTTTAAGCCGCCGGGTCTGGGACTCAAACTACAGTCGACTACCTGGGAGTCCAGCAACGTAACTATTATGCCATCTTCTGGTCCCAATTTTTAAAGGGTTACTAGGGAAAAAAAAGAGAGAGACTATGGGACAGAAGTGTGTAGTCTGCAAAGCCTGAAATATTTACTGTCTGGGCCTTCATAGACAAATGTTGCTGACATTTTAAGTGGTTGTAAAAACAGGCATATTTTCAACAAGCTCTTCTTAAAATGCCACCTAGAATCCCATCATCAAATCCAGCAGCTATCTCTTCTCTTTATTTCATCATCCATGCAGTCTTTGGCCCTGGCGTTAGGTCCACATTTACAGTTTTGATGCGTGTCCCATGGCAGTAATTTTCCTTCTTAGGTCATGGGCCCCTTCATTCTGGAAGGTAAACCAGTTGTCTGATAACAAGCCCTCAAACCATCCCCAGCAGCTGTCTGTGTGCATTCCCCTTCTAGGGCATTTTCCTGAAAGATTACCAGTGATGTGGCCAAGAGCGACAGCCGAAGTGGTTTTATCACAGCACTGTGTCTGTAACAGACAACTGGAACTAAAGAGCTGAACCTGGGGGCCAGCCAGTGGTGTGGTGGTAAAGGCAGCTGGATCCCACATGACTGACTGCCACTGCATGGTTCAAGTCCCTGCCCTGTGGCTTGAGAAATATACTAGGCATGTGTGTATGTGTGACCAAAGTCCCAGGAATGGAAGAGAAGGGATTGCAGTGCAGCCATCCCCCAGTGGTGCTTTTTCACATCTCTCCCTCCCTTTGTCTCTGTCCAGCAAATGCATGCACCCTCTGGCAGATTGAAAAAAAAAAGACTTGACCCCAGGGGACTGGTTAAGTAAATGAAAAGGCACAGCTGTCCAGTGGCCTAGCAGGACCTTGAAATCACTTACTTAAAGGCTAGTTGGGCCCAGCTGCAGTCACATGGGAGGCTCTGGTTCAATTTCCAGCCCAACCTATAAAGCTGAATGCACCCTCTTGTTCTGTGTCTCTCTGGTCACATTTTTAAAATAATAACAATGATGAATAAAAAATTAAATAAAATAATTCTTTAAATAAAAGAAGGGGCCAGCAGGTGGTATGGTGGTTGAAGCAGACCACCACACGGCTGACTGCAGTTCAAGTCCTGGACCTGGTTTTTAAAGCCATCATACACACATACCCCTCAGCTATTTAATGATGTGAAACATTTCTCCATAAAAGGAAAAAAATCAGGATATATATAACTATATTTGGATGAATCTGGGTTTTTCTGTAGCTTATAAAAGTATCCCTGCATGATTGTATATACCAAGAAAAAAAGAAGAAATTACCATGTTTAAAATTTTCTTTGAAAAATTAATATATTTAGTTTTTTAATTTTTAATTTATTTTAAGAAATTCTATGCATTTTAATTGATAAAAATTGTACCTATGTATGTATGTATGATGTACAATATGATTTTTCTTTTAGATTTTTGCCATAGGGCATGTATGCTCACTGGAGAGACAGTGAGAGGGAAAGTGAGGAATCACCACCCAGGGAGGGCGGCCGTGCCACAATCCCTTCTCCTCCATTCTCCTCGTGGGATTTTGGACACATATCCAAACATGCCCAGCGTGCTTCTCAAGTGCCAGGTCTAGGACTCAAACCGCAAAATCATCCATGTGGGATCCAGCTGCCTTAATCACCATGCCACTGGCTGGACCACGTTTGGTTTTTTTTGGCATGGTGAGAACATTTATGACTATATGAAATATTGAACTCACTCCTCTAACTGACCAGTGTCTCCAGTCTCCCATCCACTGGTGACCACCGTCCTCTCTGCTTCCACGAGTCTGACTTCTGTAGATCCCGCATGCAGTGTATAATGGGATTCGGGACGGCTTTCATCTTCTCCGTTCTCCTTCTCTGAAGGCTCCGTGTTTTCCAGAGTGCTCGGGCATTGCCTTGATTATGAGCAAGTGGGGGAGTCCACAGTCAGAACCTCTGGGGGGCCTTCAGTTTGGTCCAGATGACGTCACCGGGACCGTGGCTCCAGCTCGGGGCCCGTGGGTCTGCACACCCAATGCTGTGTCCCTCGCTCCCCACAGGCAGAGAGGCCAGCTGCGAGGGCACCCTCCGGGCCGTGGACCCCCCTGTGAGGCACCACAGCTACGGGCGCCACGAGGGAGCCTGGATGAAGGACCCCGCAGCTCCGGACGACAGGATCTACGTCACCAACTACTACTATGGAAACAGCCTGGTGGAGTTCCGCAACCTGGAGAACTTCAAGCAAGGTTGGCCCGAGATGGGAGGAGACAGGGCATGGCAGCCCGGGAGGGCCCAGCCTGGCCTCGCTCTAGAAGGCCAGCTACAGCCAGAGGGAGGTTTGGGGACACTGCTGGGGGCCCAGCCTGATCCGCAGCACCGGTATGTGCCGGGAGCGGCGGGGAAGATGGGTGTGGGCCTGCCCTCTGGAAGGTACCTCAGCATCAAGGGGGGCATGCCCATTTCACTTGCCCAGCGCTCACCCTGTGCTGTCCGCCTATGCCAGGTCATGGTAGCTTCCTGGGGCTTATCACCTGTTTTACAGGTAAGCAGGCCCCAGGCCTTAGAGGAGCTGCCGGCCTGGGCAGGGGCCAAGATGAGCCCTCAGCACAGGGAAGGGCAGGACTTTGGTTATCAGATCTGTGACATGGTCGGGGATGGAGTTGTTTTTTAGACAAGGCTTCCAGAAAGCCACAGTCTGGCCCAGGAGACACAGGTGTAGAGAGACATTTGGGATATGGCAATGGACAGAGAGCTCAGGGAGCTGTGGGAGCCCAGCCTGGAGATCCAGGAAGACTTCCCAGGGGAGTTGCTGCTGAGCTGAGGAAGAACAGGAGGAAGCCATGCAGAAGGGAGAGGGGAGAGGGAAGGGTGTTGCAGGCAGAAGGCCCAGAATGAGAGGAAGTTGGTAGCATGGCAGTGGGAGGGCTGCTAGTGCAGGAGCGTAGGCTGGGGCAGACTCCGTGAGCCACGAGAAGGAATCTGGACTTACCCTGACAGCCATGGAGTCACAGAGTGTGGCCCGAGCAGCTGAAGCCCTTCCCCTGCCAGCTCTAAATTGGCCTGCTTTCTGCCTTGAGCAACTCACAGGCTGGTGGAGGAAGCCAGTGATAAGTGTCAAGGCAAAGGATTATGGGGGACTAAAGGAAAGGCCCTTACTCAGCCTAAGGAAGTCCAGGAAGGCTTCCTGGAGGAAGTAACATTGAGGGCTCTGCATGATAGGCATGCACTCCCCGAGCAGATTGAATGGGGACTGGCAGTTCAGACAGAAGGGGCAGGAGGGGGAAAGGCCCTGCAACAGAGTGAGGGGGCTGGCACCACCATGTCTGAGTGACCGGGTGACCTCAGCCTCTGAGCCTGTTTCCTCATAGCAAAGGGGATGAGGATAGCAGCTCCTCCACAGGACTGTCCCGAGACCAAGTAACCGGCCCAGCCCCAGCTCCAGCCACAAGGTCCACTCTGGGTATCAGTTGCTTGCTGGGGGCCACTCCAGAGCCCACGGGGTTTCTCCCCGGCAGGCAGGGTGGCTGGGGTTGCCCAGGAGCCCTGCAGTGACCACCTCCCTCCACTCGCAGGCCGCTGGAGTAACATGTACAAGCTGCCCTACAACTGGATTGGCACGGGCCACGTGGTGTACCAGGGCGCCTTCTTCTACAACCGCGCCTTCACCAAGAACATCATCAAGTACGACCTGCGCCAGCGCTTCGTGGCCTCCTGGGCGCTGCTGCCCGACGTGGTGTACGAGGACACCACGCCCTGGAAGTGGCGCGGCCACTCAGACATCGACTTCGCGGTGGACGAGAGCGGCCTGTGGGTCATCTACCCCGCCGTGGACGACCAGGACGAGGCCCAGCCGGAGGTGATCGTGCTGAGCCGCCTGGACCCAGGCGACCTCTCCGTGCACCGGGAGACCACGTGGAAGACGCGGCTGCGGCGGAATTCCTATGGGAACTGCTTCCTGGTGTGCGGCATCTTGTATGCCGTGGACACCTACAACCAGCACGAGGGCCAGGTTGCCTACGCCTTCGACACACACACGGGCACCGACGCACGCCCCCAGCTGCCCTTCCTCAACGAGCATGCCTACACCACCCAGATCGACTACAACCCCAAGGAGCGGGTGCTGTACGCCTGGGACAACGGCCACCAGCTCACCTACACCCTCCACTTCGTGGGCTGAGTGGGGAGCCAAGCACACGGGCCAGGGCAGCAGCAGGGGAGGGTGCTCCTCACAGCAACTCTGCCCCCGACCCGGCCCATATTTATTGGGGGCAGCCTGGGCTAGGCTGGAGGACACGAGCCTTAGCACCAGTGGTTGGTCCCGCTTCTCCCTGCCAAGCTCTGTGCCAGCGCTTTGCATGCACGTCCCCGCCGGATGCCCCTGCTCCTTGGAGGCAGAGATCATGAGCCCATGTAACAGCAGAGGAGACGGAGGCTGGAGGCAACAGCTCTTGCCTGATGCTCCCGATGCGACCAGGAAGGCTGTGCTCTCACTACAGCCCCGTTTTACAGATGAGGAGACTTCTCTTGTTCTCTCAATTTTGTTTCCCACCCCAGGGCTGCTCAAATTGGCGGCCTCTGGGACCAGCAGTTAGTGTAATGGCTATGTCGCTGGATTCCCATGTAGCCGACTGAGGTTGGAGGCCCGGACCCGGTGGCTTAAACTCACGCCGGGCGCGTGTGCGTGCGTGCCCAAGATCCCGAGAGGAGAATGGAGGAGAAGGGATTGTGGTGTGGCCATCCCCCCTGGGGGGTGATTTCTCTCTTTCTGTCTCTCTCTGGCTCTCTGGCAAACGCATGCGCCCTATAGCAAAAACCTTTCCAAAAAAAAAATCAGCGGCCTCTGGGCTCAACACACACGTGTTGGGTGGAGGCTCCGACTCTGCCCGCCACCCCAGGCCCCGGTTCTGCCTGAGCCCCATCAGTGGCCCTGGCTTTTGGGCCCCTTGGCCAATGTCCCTGCTTCTTGCCTAGCCAGCTCCCCTGCCCCACCCACTGGTGTCCTGCCGCATTCCAAACTGCTACCATCACCTAGCCACTGAGCAGAAACCACACCCCAGGAGACAACACTGGCTCCTGGTCCCGGCCCCTCCCTCTGCGCTCGTTTTGGTTTTCTCGTGTTCTCCATCAGTGCCGTCATCTGTTTCTGCAGCAGCAGCTGAGGAGGCCGCAGGCAGCTGCCCCCAGGGTGGGAGCCGGCCGAGTTCCCACTCCACCCGAGTGCTGGCTTTGGCCACATACCCAGGCCTCAGGCCCCTCTCTGGCCCTTCCAGAGCCTTGGGTCCTGGGGTCCACCTTGTTCTTTTGGGGCCTTCAAACCCACAACATATACTCAGGGATACCAGGGTCAGGCCCTCGGCCCTCGGTTAGTGTGGTACCAGGATGGCGCAGGGCCCCTCCTGGTCAGTCCTGACCCGGTCATTTATGGGCTGGTGAGCAGCCTGGGGACTAGAAAGGACAGTGGGTCTGAGCAGCTTGGGTCAGACGGGGGTCCACAGGAGGCACTGGGCCTTCTGGTTGCAGGGGAGGGAAGGAGCGGGTTCTGCACGCCTGGCTTCTGGCATCAGAGATACGGTGCCAGTGCTGCCCCAAGCCCAAGACTTGCGGTCGCTCCCTGGACCCCAGGCCGGCCAGGCCCAGGCCAGCCAGAGGACAAGACCTTCAAGCCTGCCCCTCATCTGCTCAGGACAGTATTTTTAGAGCCTGAAAACCCTTCTCCTGCCCCACTCCTGTTTCACCAAAGGGAGAATAGGCCTAGAAAGGTTTGCAGGGGGTTCAGAGTCACACGGGGAGCAGGACACAGCCCACCTCCTCCCTGAAGGGTCTCTCCTGGCATGGAGGCAGCTCTGCCTGCCACACCACCCAACACCACTGCAGGGGACTGACCGCTGCTGCTCTCACTCCCCGTGCCAGCTCCCAGATATCCATGTGTTCCAGCATCCACTTGCCACACTCAGAAATCCCGCTGCACCAATCGGTGTAAGTGCCTCTGCGCGGAGTGCATTGCTTGCAGGCACTGTCAGGTGAGACTGTTTGGTTCCAGCTGCAATTCAGCCCTGAGATAAAGGGGAATGGTGACACCCCGCCCAGCCAGGCCTGACTCACAGTGGTGGACACGTCGAGCCAACCCACCAGGCTGCACTTGCGGGGCTGCGAGGCTTGCGTTCCCCGTGGCCCTGGGCGTGGGTTTTATGACTGTCTTTTGTGACATCACGGCTCAATCATGTGAGGAGAAAGAGAAGGCCCTTCTTCTCTGAGGAGAGGGAAAGTTAGAATGGACCGATTTCAAAAATAACAACTAGCAGCATTGCTTTCTGGGGGCACGGTGCTGGCCACAGCCCCCACGTGCTCACGAGTCCCCTCTGTTTTCAGGGCCCGTGTGTGGGTCATACGGTAGGTACAGTTATTTCCCTCGTCCTGCACATGCTCACGTCAGAGCTCAGAGCAGTTAGGTCACTTGTCACGCAGGCAGTTAAGTGGTCCTAGAATCAGGTAAGAAAACCATTCTCACTAACAGCTCCAGCCCGTGCTAAGCACGTGCATGCACACCCTCCTTGCGTCTTCACAAGCGAAAGCATTTGCTGTGTGTGCCTTTTACAGATGACGCTGAGGCGAAGGGACTCAGGGTCCCACGGCAGCTTAGTCTGAGGCAGAGTTGGGGTTTCAGGGCTGGCTGCCTGCCCCTCTGGTGACAGCAGAAACGGGGGCTATTGCTTTTATCCAGAATGGCCAGGTCATGTGCTTCATCCACATGGAAGTCTCAAGAAGGAGGTTGGGGCCAGGTTGTAAAGAGCTCCTAATGCCAAGTCAAGGAGGGCTGCCTCCAGTCATGTTTGGAGCCAGGTCAGGTGTAAATGAACAGAGAAAAGAAAATTCTAAGACAATTCGAGAGAGGTTGGCAGGGTTTTTGTTTCACAGGAACTACAGGCAGCCCACAGCTGCAAACTTGTGAGCTTTGAAGAAACCTGACCCCTACAGCTCTTGTTTTTCACCCACTTGGGCCTTCACCGCAGTTGGCTGCAGGTACTTCAGACTGGAAGGGGTCAGAAGGGGTCGGAGAGGGTGGGATTTCCTACCGACTGTGGCTGCGGAGCCAGGGCAGAGGGAGCTGGCTTGGCTGAGCAGGGCATACAGTACAGGGTTTTGCCTGTGGCCTCAGGCTCCTCCTTAGAGATTTCCAGGCCTTCCGGTTCATCTGCCTCTCAGGGCAAGAGCGGAAAGAGCCCCTGCCTTGCGGGTC